GTTTTAGGTTTTTTCCTGTCTTCGAGGTTTTGGAAGGCGCCCAAGAGGTGCCTTACCAAGTAACATAATTCTTTTTCAAAACTTTGCCTGTAAACCGGCAAAATAAATGTATATATATATATATATATATAGACAAACACGGTGTTCATTATGCTGTGCAGACGAGTGTGTCGTAGCTATGACTACAAACACAGTAGGATGAGGGTAAAAAGGAAGAAGATGAGTTTAGCCCTGCGTTGTCGGCCAATGCGCTAAAAGAGCACAACTTGCAAATATGACAAAGCTTCCGTCATCTAGCGACTAGACAAAAACAGCAAAGGAAGACACAACTTCGACAAGGTCACCTGCCATTAGATAGTGAAAATAGAAGAACACCCGATACGACTGCCAAGATTGAAATCTGCCTAATGCGTGGCCATAGAAGACATACAGATTAAGAGCTGCTTTAGATGTGGGCTTCTTATTGTTATGGGGGGGCGGGATCCGCCATACACTCACGGCAGTCGGCGAAACGTACACGCCAGCTAGATCATGTTCACAGGCAAGCCGCCCACACCGCCTTTCGAAGCAACCTTGACGACCGCCCACACACTCGTGGCGCACATATACCATCAGAGTAGGCGGCCTGGGAAGTGACCAATCAGAGTTTAGTAGCCTACTAGTGAAGAGGTTTCTTGAATGTCTGTTTGCACACTATACGCCAGGAGTGTTCTAGAAAGACCAAGACCTAATAAATACGCTAGAGTGGACAACCTAAAATATCCGCTGTCTATGGATGGCCTCGAATAAAGCCCTTGTCATCAGAACCAACTCTTAGCCTTCTCCTGCATAATAGTCGGGTCGAATCAGCTATCTGGCTACCCGTGCAGGGTACGTATGCAGGTACCACAGGTATTGGTATGCCACACAAAGAAGACATAGTAATTGAAGAGCAAAAAGGCTAAATGCATGTCGTATTCGAAATAATATACATGTTGACAATGCACATAAAATCAACAACCACTCTCACCGCAGATCGTGGTAAGAAGCTGGAAGAGATTTCACAATAGCTGCGTCTATTCTTTTTGCGTTCAGAGGTATACAACATAATTGCACAGTGTTCAAATCAAATCAGTGCGTGCTTTAGTAACTATTTAACAGCAAACTAGAATAACCACCTTAAAAATGGTGTAATAGACTTCGCCACATTTACTTCCCGGCGAGGTGCAACCAGCTGGATTTCGTGAATAGTCTTTCCACCGCGAAGCAGTCGCTCACGGACCCAATCCAAATCATCCTGATTACCGTCCTTGTCTTATGTAGTGTTGAAGAGTAGGGTGTGTTCAACGAAGGCATATCTATCCGCTAGGTTTCGGCATCGCACAGTCCAACTAAAAGTTGCAGTCTCAAATACGTGAGAGTAGAATTATCCGGAACAAAGATAATAAGGACCGTAAGTCTGTAGCAGAACAGAAAGTGTGTTTCTTGGTGTTGGAACCCAGTACTTGTTAAATGGTCTGAGAAGCAGGGGGAAGACATCAGATCTGGCATACCTATAAAACCGACCAAAGGACCATGCAAGTTCTTTTATATGCGTCTGGTTTGAGGAGTAGTAACTTACATCCAGGAAGGGCCAGCCCCAACTATTGCCACTAATTTTGTGACAACCGTCTGCGTCCTGAGGCGAATCACTCGGTT